CTGAAGAAGACAAGGTTCCTCATGCTGAGGACAACGTGCCCAAGGTTCCTCATGCTGAGGACAACGTGCCTCACGCTGAGGACAAGGTTCCTCACGCTGAGGACAAGGTTCCTCACGCTGAGGACAAGGTTCCTCACGCCGAGTGCAAGGTTCCTCACGCCGAGTGCAAGGTTCCTCAGGCCGAGGACAAGGTTCCTCACGCCGAGTGACAAGGTTCCTCACGCTGAGGACAAGGTTCCTCACGTGAAGACAAGGTTCCTCACGCTGACGACAAGGTTGCTCACGCTGAAGACAAGGTTCCTCACGCTGAGGACAAGGTTCCTAACGCTGAAGACAAGGTTGCGCACGCTGAGGATAAGGTTCCTCACGCTGAGGACAAGGTTCCTCACGTTGATGACAAGGTTCCTCACGCTGAGGTCAAGGTGCCTCACGCTGAGGAAAAGGTTCCTCAGGCTGAGGACAACGTTCCTCACGCAGAGGACAAGGTTCCTAACGCTGAGAAGATGGTTCCTCAAGCTGAGGACAAGGTTCCTCACGCTGAGGCCAAGGTTCTTCACGAGGGGGAGAAGGTTCCTCACGGTGAGGACAAGGTTCCTCACGCTGAGTGCAAGGTTCCTCACGCTGAGGACAAGGTTCCTCACGCTGAGCAGAAGGTTCCTCATGCTGAGGAGAAGGTTCCTCACGCTGAGGACAAGGTTCCTGAAATCCGAGGACAAGGTGCTCACGCCGAGGACAAGTTTCCTCACGCTGAGGACAAGTTTCCTCACGTTGAAGACAAGGTTCCTAACGCTGAGGACAAGGTTCCTCACGCTGAGGACAATGTTTCTTACGCTGAAGACAAGGTTCCTCACGCTGAGGACAAGGTTCCTCACGCTGAGGACAATGTTTCTTACGCTGAAGACAAGGTTCCTCACGCTCAGGACAAGGTTCATCACGCTGAGGACAAGGTTCCTAACGCAGAAGACAAGGTTCCTAACGATGAGAACAAGTTTCCTAACGCTAAGCACAAGGATCCTCACGCTGAGGACAAGGTTCCTCAAGCTGAGGACAAGGTTCCTCAAGCTGAGGACAAGGTTCCTCATGCTGAGGAAAAGGTTCTTCACGCTGAGGAGAAGGTTCCCCACATCCGAGGACAAGGTTCCTCACGCCGAGGACAAGGTTCCTCACGCTGAGGACAAGTTTCCTCACGTTGAAGACAAGGTTGCTAACGCTGAGGACAAGGTTCCTCACGCTGAGGACAATGTTTCGCACGCTGAAGACAAGGTTGCTCACGCTGAGGACAAGGTTACTCACGCTGAGGACAAGGTTCCTCACGTTGAAGACAATGTTCCTCACGGTGAAGAAAAGGTTCCTCACGCTGAAGACAAGGTTCCTAACGCTGAGGATAAGGTACCAAGCTCTGAGGACAAGATTCCTAACGCTCAGGACAAGATTCCTATCGCTGAGGACAAGGCTCTTCACGCTGAGGACAAGGTTCCTAACGCTGAGGACAAGGTTCCTAACGCTGAGGAGAAGGTTGCTCACGCTCAATCTCGTTCCCAGAGTATGCCTGTTCGCGGGTTAGGTTGTGGCATGACTCTGGGGAAATCGAATCGAAATCGTTATTGGATTGGCTGCCGTGACCATCAATGCTGCCGACACAATTAATGCGTTTTTTTTCCGAGAATTACGCGTGAAAATACGCGAAGAGAGAATTATCAATGTTTATCAAATTTGGAATGCGAAATCAAACAATATAAATCGAAGGATATAATATTAATCGTATGAAAAAGTATTGGAACGTTGGGTATATACTTAGAAAATGGCATGGTATTTATGAATGACTTTTTATCGATCTACAGTATGAGTATATTCATTATAACCATGAAAGAATTGGCTAAATGAAATCATCGCACACGTTGTCGTTGTTTTGTTAAATTGACATATTGTTGCCAGGACTTTGGAGTGACAGCTTTTGCTTGTGTTAAAAACTTGAAGCTTTAAATAATACAGTACATTATGATCAACACTCAACATGTTGTAGTCTGTGGTCATTATGCTTTTGTAAATGGAGTTATCTATATAAATTTAAGATGCCAGGTGTTTTTGTAGCATCTGTATAAATGATAGAATAATTGATTTAAGAAATTCCTCAGGTTGTAAAACATTTGGTTATAGACTTGCTTTGTAAATGATTGCCACTTGACAGCATGATGGGCTATTCAATTTAATATCGGTACCCCCTGTCAAGGATAAAGTTTTTTCATGGTTATACCCCTGAAGAATTCCAAACTCAAAACCTTTTACCCCTGAAGAATTCCAAGCTCAAAACCCTTTACCCCTGAAGAATTCCAAGCTCAAAACCCTTTACCCCGGATGAATTCCAAACTCAAAACACTTTACCCGTGAAGAATTCCAAGCTCAAAACACTTTACCGCTGAATTAACCAATAATAGTACCGTTGCACTTTTTGCTGATGACAGCAAGTGTTATCGTCCTATACGATCACCAGTTGATCGTGGTCTCCTTCAGCTCGACCTGGACGCTATGTCCAACTGGTCACTTAACTGGAAAATGCAATTTAATGTCTCGAAGACGTTCCTACTTAGGATATCCCGCAAACGTAACCCTCCAACTCATTGCTACTTTCTTAACAACGATCCAGTTAAGAGCATAGCTAACCAAGTAGACTTGGGTGTTGTTATCAGCAATGACCTAAAGTGGTCCCCTCACATCGCCAGCTGCACTGCAAAAGCCAATCGTATGCTTGGTTTTCTTCGTAAGAATTGTACGCATATGTCTGATATTCGCTGCCGTAGGCTCCTTTATCTTGCTCTCGTCCGATCTCATCTGTCATATGGTAGTGAGATCTAGGCACCTCAAGGATCGTCACGTGATCTTGCGATCATCGAGGGTGTTCAAAGACGAGCTAGTAAATTTATCCTTCAGGGTTATGAGTTGCCATATCCTGAACGCCTTAAAAAGCTTAATTTATTACCAATATCCTACTGGATGGAACTAAAGGATCTCGTCTTCTTTTTTAAATGTAAGCACGGTCTCTTCGACCTAGATATCTCCTCTTTCGT